GTGTGTGCCAAGGTTAGTATTCCGGGTGCTGTGTGTGTGTGTGTGTGTGTGTGTGTGGCTGTGTGTGTGTGTCCACAGGGCCAGTATCCAGGGTGCTATATGTGTGTGTGCCAAGGTTAGTATTCCGGGTGCTGTGTGTGTGTGTGTGTGTGTGTGTGTGTTTGTTCGTTCGTTCGTTCGTTCGTTCCTAGGGCCAGTATTCCGGGTGCTGTGTGTGTGTGTGTGTGTGTGTGTGTTAGTTCGTGTTTTTGTAATTATTACATTGTGGGAACTAGAGTGCCCTGCAATGTGGTGATAACTTTTTACCTCATGGGGACATTTGTTTGATCCCCACAAGGGAAAGTCAATTTTGTAAAACTCTGTGAATGCAGTCAGAAAACTGTCTTATTTTGTTTGGTTACTTATGGTTAATGTTAGGGCTGGGTAAGTTATCGTTGGGATTAGGGCTACGCCCATAGAAATGAACAGGGAGTCCCCATAAAGATATGAATACATGGAGTGTGTGTGTGTGTCCCTCGCCCCGGTCAGTCGTAGGTATAGCACAGGAAAGAGCTGATGAAGGTTGTATGAATGTTTGGCAGGCTGAGCTAATGCCCTGTCCAAGCTGAGTGTGTGTGTGAGAGGAGCCGGAAGCTGGAATTTGCCGCTAAGCGGGTGCAGGTGTGCCGGCTTCAGGTGGATGCGGGAGTGAGGGCACCTTTAGCTGCCTGTATACCTCAGAGGCAGATGGTGATCATGGCTACACCTCTATAGTTTCGGATGGAGATCGGATTTTTTTTTCCCGGATTGCTCTTGGAACAGCCTACACTGATCCCCACCTGAATGCTTTCATTACAGTGATGTGTAATGCAGTAACTAGATCAGGGTTCAGTTTTGCTGGTTGTGGCATTGTGGAATGCTTTGAAAATATGTCTTGTCTTATACTGGATGTTCTCCAGTGTGAATTTTGTTGTAAGGTAGCTTAGTGATTGACGTATGTTTTAGTGGGGGCATATTCATGTTAGAATTTCCAGAGTGAGATCCTGAAACCTCTGTGTTTATCAGCCCATGTTCTTAGCTGCTATGCTGGCATTTGGCCTTAATTTAAGCCCATTGGCGGATGTCTCTATTGGAGTGAATGGTGAGCCTCAAATAGGCTCTCAGGTCAAAATGAGCATTATGTCATTGTCCTTGGAAAGCCTGTTGTAACTGCTAGACTCATGAAGACCATGGTCAGCGAAATGATGCAATGCGTATGGGCCTGATCGCCGGTGCACAGGTCAAACCTTCTGCTCTTCGCTCTTCTTAGATTGCTGGGGTTTATAGATTTTCTGCTGGAAACAATTTTTTATTGCCTGCAACCAATAGTCTCTTAGAAATCAAATGCTTGCTGGCCCTTATGTATGTAATTAATATGTGTAATAATTGCCCCGATCAATACCCTTTCGGACAGCTATTGAATATATTGAGGTGAATTAGTTTTCTAGTTTGAAAATGGCTGTATGTCGCTAACTAGCCTTGCAAATTTTGACTGATGCTTCGCTAAATACAAAACTGCAGTCAGTCTAACACGAGCCAAGTGCTTCTTTCTTATGTTATGACCGTACCTGAGACCTCTGGCACCGTGCAAGTTTAGCCTCCCCTTTGTGTCAGTGGTATTTGTTTTTCTGCCCAGAGACATCTTCCAGGACTTATTTAGCTTATGTAAATGATGCTTGTACCTTATGAAGCAACTTGTTTTTGATTTATGAGCAGCGACTCAACCGATTTTAACGAAATATTGAGTTTGCCTCATTCTCCAAGTAATTTGAGTGCAGTAATAAAGCCTCTAATAAACAGTACTATATTGAACCATAATGCGTGATGAATGAATTATGATGAATAAATTATTTGTGGCTCTTTAGCCATTTGCTGTCCCTGTGGGTTTAGCTTTTATGATGATACTTGTCCTCCCTCGAACGTAATGGTGATTCTTGGGTGTATGATGTCATTGGAGAATTTGGTCGCATTCAGATACCCTTGTGGAGCCTGTTTTGTGGTGGGTGCCTGGGACACTCAACCTCCAGCTTTAGTGAAATCTGCTATGAAGTAGAAGCAGACAGGCATCCTTAAGCAAACACTTAAATTACTGCTGTTTATATTGCATATACACCCTTGTAGAGATATAGATATTTACCATTATATCATGCATAATTTGATTGTGTCGCGGATAAATTGAGGCTCGTATTGGATCATAATTGGACACAGCATTTTATTATACAAGACGGGACAATCCTTAAATACAGGATGTATGGGATATATATTATGAGATTCCTTAGAAATAACTCCTCTCTGTTGCATGTCTCTCATTTATAGTTTGTGTGCAAATGCCACCGTCTGGCTTCTGGTTAATTTTTTTTTTCAGTATTTTAAACCATGTAAGCAGGTAATCCGGCAGGGGGCAACGCCCCAAGTGCTGCCGTTCCATGTGTGATTAGTGAATTGGGTGCCTCTGCTTTCCAGTGGGGCCTCGGCTCTGCGCCGCCTACCGTATCTGCCGGGGGTGGGGCTAGCTTGTGGCACCCACAGCGGTGCCTCCCGTCAGGTGGCCCAGACAGCCGGCTTCCCCTGTGCTCCATGTCCTCTGTCGTGAGCCGTCCTGTCACGCCGCCGCAGGGTCCAGCTCAGAAATTGAGCGTGTCGTTCCGCTCGCTGCATCCCACAGTTGTGAAGCTGCGGGGAGTGTGCGGCGGTTGGCATGCGGCTTGGAGCCGGTGTGGGCTGCTCCTCACCCTCAACCGGCTGGCACCAACTGCCGCGCTAATAATAGATGCAGGAAAACCCGCTTTCTGTTCAGATTAGTGATTTAGTATGCCTCTACATAAATATGTCAATGTATGTTCATTTGTTTGGCACTTATTAGCCGTGCTACAGCTTACAGGAACGGACAACAAAATTGTGTCCCTTGTACAGGGCTCTTCAAATCTGGACCTCGATTCCAAATCCAGGCCTTTTTTCCAGTTATCCCAGGTAATTTAATAATTACTGATTCTGATTGGTCAGAGGCTTCACATCTGGCTCACAGGTAAAGGAAGGCTGGAAAACCAGCAGTGCATTTGAATAATGGGGCCCTAGTACTTTTTGGTGGGGGTTTCGAATGTTGACAGTAGTGATCAATGATTGCATAGGGAAAAACTGTGCCACTTGGCAGTGTTCTACAGCTTAAGAGCGCTTCAGCTGGCTTGCTGTGGGACTTGGCCTACTGTCCCAAGGCATTTCTGATGGAGAGCTGTCTGTGATTTGCCTTGCGGTCTATGTGATATTGACTTACTGGTCAGTGACTTGAGGCTCCTAATCTTTGTCCTTTTAAAATACTGCAGCACTGATCTAGATGTTTCGGCTTGACAGTCTGTAGAACTCTCCATAGGAATGCTGCATGATGAAAGGATATTTTCTCTCAGAATGCTTCTTGTTCAAGAAATATATATGCAGGATCTTCCCCTTCATTCCTGCTGTCCTTTGCTTCATCATCCAAGATTCTTTGTATACATTGTAAAACCTTTTCTATGAGGTGGAACCTTCTGCCTGCTCCCTAAGTGAAGGTCTGGAAGAGGCAGTTTTCACCCAAGGAGCCAGGGATGTTGTCGGTTCCTTGGCTGTTGGACCTGATGGCTGTTAGGCCAAAGGCAGTGAGAGGAGGTCGTGGCAGCCTGCTGCTCACTGCCTTATCTGGCAAATTTTGCATTGGCTTCCAGGCTTTATTGACGTTTTGTTCTAGGTCAAAACTGGTTGGTTGGGGTTTTGTTACTGGAAAATTATTAAAATGACTTGTGAAGCTTTTTTCCTCTTGCCATTTTCAGTCTCGCTGTAATGGCAGGTAGATCTGCCTGGGTAAGAATCACTTAGGCTGCTGTCATTTTTCAGTGGACCGAGTCTTAATGATGCCCCTCAATAAATGATTACTTTAAGCCTCCCCCCTCTGATATCTCTGGGGGCAGATTTGGTTGGGAGCCCCCAGTGGGCCTTTTTGGGCCAAAAGGGCAACAAGGATGAATTATAAATTATAAATGATGGAATATCAATAAGTGGGGTGGCATGGTGGTGCAGTGGTTAGCACTGTTGCCTCACACCTCCGGGACCTGGGTTCAAGTCTCCGCTTGGGTCACGTGTGTGGAGTTTGCATGTTCTCCCCATGTCGTTGTGGGGTTTCCTCCGGGTACTCCGGTTTCCCCCCACAGTCCAAAGACATGCTGAGGCTGATTGGAGTTGCTAAATTGCCCTTAGGTGTACATGTGTGAGTGAATGGTGTGTGAATGTGCCCTGCGATGGGCTGGCCCCCCATCCAGGGTTGTTCCCTGCCTCGTGCCCATTGCTTCCGGACCCCCCGCGACCCAGTAGGATAAGCGGGTTGGACAATAGATGGATTGATGGATGGAATATCAATAAAATGCTAATCAAAGCATGGGGTGCCAACAGTAAAACTTACCGATCAGGTTGGGGGCGAGAGCACTGTCCGTAGAATTCAGCGATCAGGGGGAGGAGGGCATCACAGTGGTGGATCCATTTGGCCAAATTTAAGAAGTTTAACTGTTCACTCTTTTGCCATGCCCCTCGGCTGTAGCCTATGCCTTACTCTGCTCCTGTGGCTAAGATTAGTGTTGAATTCTTGCGTACATTCATTTGTCTTCTCTCCACAACTTTTCACCTTTTGTCTGCCACTCTAGCAGGATAACATCATGACACGAGAGATATAATGTTAATCTTGTATGTTCTTGTATCTTCACTGTTCTTTTCTGTTAGGCTCCTTTGTCGGTTCACTTGGCAGTGAAATAACTGGTATCCTGCCACTAGACTCCAGTGTGAAAACAGAGCTGTGTAGCGTGAAGTCTGAGTACGAATAGTCCAGTACAACCGGGACTGGAGCAACTTTATCATGAAAACTGTTGCTAAAATGCAAATAACAGACATTTTGCCCTAATTTAATTTATATCCTTAAATTTAACTTTTAGAAATTCTGTCTTCCTGGGCCCCCCAGTTTTCCAGGGCCCCTTGCCTTATCCTAAGTCCACCTCTGCTTAATCCCACTGACTAATTGTAAGGATTGAAACTCTTGTTGCTCTTTGAGTGAGGCAAATTCAGTCATTTCCCCTGTCCCACCACTGGGGGTGTCCTTTTCACAAAATGTACTTCAACATCTGGAATTGCAAGAGACCTGAATTGCTTCCCTACTCCAGTGACTTCATTCCTCCTGAAGGCGTTTCTGCAATTCTGTATGTGCTGATCCTACAGCTGAGAGCCAGGGTTTCCTAATGATCAGCTAAAGCTTCTGAAAACATCTGCGTTCTCTGTTATGAATGAATTAAAAAAAGCTGTGTCAAACGATGGTCTCTACACTGGCGAGTGCATGACTCATCTAGAGGCTTATATAAACTTACCCATGAGCACTGCTTCCAGTCTGAGGGCTGGGTGGCCCAAATAGGAGAGATGCCATTGGGCCATAATGATTGACATGATTGAGGGTGTGTGGTGCCGAACTGAGGTGTGGGCTGAACTGTCTCTGTACCTTTTTAAAAATGCAAGAGGCTTTATGGGATTGAGGAGTGATTTCCGCACCTATGTGGGGGTGCTGGTGGTCATTGCCACGTCTAGGTTTCCATGCAGAAACACATGTAACAGGTGTGTGAGAGACAGGAGTGCAGTTCTACAGCAGAGGTAATTCATTTACCAATATTCCATGCATTTGGTGAAGGGTTCAGCCCGTTATGCAGTATAATTTGATATTCAGGATACAATAGCAGAGAACTGATGGTATTTCACACAAAGCAAGTCAATTATTTTCAAACTGTAGCCAGATTTTCTTTTCATTGTAATTCTGTTACTGTAGAACTAGCCAGGAGCCAGAGGGCACTGTTCTGATTCTTCTGGGCTTAAACCAAGATCCATGACTGTTGCTTGGCTTTGTCACAGTATGGACCTCCGTAAGGTCACAGGTGAGATTGTGTTGCTCTTTTTGATGAAAAGTAAACATTTGGGAAAGACATGGAAGGAGCCCAGGTTCCACATCAGCTTGTAGAACTTCTGCAGCAGGTCACAGTGACCGCTGGGGGGCGTGGATCTGCATGTTGAAAGAGTTTGAAGGGCAATCTGGGAGGGGAAAGAGCCATATGTGGGGCGTGAAGGTCTGTGGGAATGGGCACTATCCCTCCTCTTAATGAGGTTTTCAGTAGGAATGCTCCAGCTTGCAGCAGCCTCAGCAGGGAGAAGTGAGTATGTTTGCAGGGAAATTATGGAATGACTCAGGATTTGGAGCCCAAATGTGATTTAAAGCTTGATGGGAAAAACCTGTCATCTGTATTAGATTTTGGTGACATCCCCTTTCACAAATGGTTGAGTTTTATTTCCTTACCTCTTGCTGGCTCTGCACCAGCTCCTCCTCGCTCATATAGTGTCTTGTGCAAAGATAACGTGTAATCGGAGGATCACAGCAGTCATGTGACCTAGGGGAGGCCAAGCCAGTCTGATGAGTGGTGCGTGACTGCAGATGTTCCCGGGGGACCAGCGTAATTAGCACCTCCGTTTGTCTCTGCAAGCCGCCTGTGGGGGAGCCTGTCAGACGGGCTTGAGTGTGATGCCGTGTCACAAGCCTCCACCGACCTGCCCAGCCTGTCCCCTGCATGACGTCCTCCATGCTGTGGAGAAAGCAGGTCACGTGCTTGGTGCTGAGAACCATCCTGGTGCCGCTGTGACTGCAGAGTCTGATGCCCGTGAGACAGTGGATACTCACCGGGGCCTTAACTACGAGATCGGATGAAAGAACTGCGGTCGGGGTACGTGCCTCGTGGTGCTGGGGATCACAGGGGTCCTCTGCTGTGCTTGGGGAGTGAGCGGTGTCTTGCTTTGAAGAGGTCTGATTGGAGCTCTTTTGTGGTCTCACTTTCTCCCAATGTGAAGCTCGTGTTTTATGGTGTTGTGTATATGGTGTAGTGTGGGGCTCAGTGGATGCTGTCCCTGTGATTGGAAGGTCACTAGTTCAAATCCTGCATTTGGCAGAGTGGTGTCACTGTTGCTAAATAAAATGTGAATATCTTAGCTTTATAGCTTGTGTAAAGGGTTAAGTTCCTTAAATCAAGCCTGTGTGGGTGTCTGTTGGTTTATGCTGGTTGAAATTTAATGCAGATGTTGCCTGACTGTTCACTCGAACCCGGGTAGGGAGGTGGCGGGATGCGAGCGCAGCACTTTTCTCGGAAAGTGGAAGCGTAAGCGAGAGTACCGCAGTCTCCCTATGGTGTCTCAGTCCCAGCCTCCATCACTGTGCCCAACCTGAATAGGCTGGAGCGGGAAACGTGACCAGCAATGTCAGCCATCGTGCATCTCTCCCGGTCTGTCCCACCCAGCTTCCCTGTCTTATTTACTGACATGTTTTTGCTTTTTCCTCTAGTGTCATTCAAGCGCCATTACCACTTCCTGTTGATAAGGTAGGTGAAGGGTGGGGGTCTGGGGGCGGGTGGGTGGTGGTGGTTGTTTACCTCATATGAAGATCCTCTTGGAACTGTTTTGTTTATTAAGGAATTTCCTTTGCTTAAGTGATTCTTGTCCTCGGTGCATCTGAGATTTTCAAAAAATAAATAACCCTAACTGTCATAGTGGTCTCTCGTCGATGGGGGTCGCTGTGAAAGGAATTTGAAGTACATACACTTGGTGTCAGATTCCTGTGTGGTTCCCTTGGACGCCATCAGTCTGATAGCTTGGTCCTATCACATCGTGTCGCTTATATTGTCCTGGATTCTGTTTTGCCGGGAATCACTCCAGCAAATCTTGTGTGTAGGAACCATGTTACTGTCTAACCGAGAATAACCCTTCTTGGCTGTAGTCCTAAAGACGTTAGATAATACTGCCTTTGCTCACTTCATTGTTTTCCTCTTCTGATGCCTGGGAGAGGAGCCTGGCGCCCTGCCACTGCCCAGAGAGGAGGCTTTGTACTGTGGGGTTGATGCCCTAGAGTGCACAGAGGGGTCTTTCTCAGGGCCAGGGAAGGGGGGGTGTCTCCCAGCCCCCTCCCCTGAATTCGCTCAGATTAGAAGACCAGCCGAAGTCTGGGGTCACCCTCCCTGGCTTCCTGGTGTGCATGTGTATACACGTGTCTGCTTGCGTTCCTCTGTGTGCAAGCAAATTATTATTAAAAAATAGGTCGGTTAAACTGTGTGAACGCAGGAGTTTAATTGAAACGAATATGTGTAGCTGACTGCTGCCTGCCCAAATGTAACAAGGATGGGGGGTGCTCTTGGCTTGAGCTGTTCAAGGGCATGGGAACAGCAGGTGTTTAGGTGGGGGTAGCTCAGTGGGTTAGGACTCTGCCTGTGATTGGAAGGTCGCTGGTTCAAATCCCAGAGTCAGCAGTGAAATTTCACCATTGGGTTCCTGAGCGTGGCCTAAACGCCAGTTGCTTTAGAGATTATCTGACCCTTACATGTACACTTAGTAGACATTTTATTAGGTACACCTTGCTAGTACTGGATTGGACCCCCTTTTGCCTTCAGAACTGCCTTAATTTTTCATGCCATAGATTCACATTCCTCAGAGACTCTGGTCCATGTTGACATGCTAGCATCACACAGTTACAGCAGATTTGCCGGCTGCACCTTCATGATGCGAATCTCCCGTTCCACCACATCCCAAAGGGGCTCTATTGGATTGGGATCTGGTGACCGTGGAGGCCATTTGAGTACAATGAGCTCATTGTCATGTTCAACAAGCCAGTCTGAGATGAGCTTTGTGACATGGGGCGTTATCCTGCTGGAAGTAGCCATTAGAAGCTGGGTACACTATGGTCATAAAGGGATGGACATGGACAGCAACTACTCAGGTAGGCTGTGGTATTTAATCAATGCTCAACTGGTACTAAGCGACCAAAGTGTGCCAAGAAAGTATCCTCTGCCATTACACCATCCCTAGCCTGAGCTGTTGGTACAAGGCAGGACAATCTTCCATTATCCAGTTTTGGTTAGCCTGTGGCCACTGTTGCCTCAGTTTCCTGTTTTTAGCTGACAGGAGTGGCACCCGGTATGGTCTTCACATGCTGCTGAAGCCCATCTGCTTCAAGGTTCCACATGTTCTGTATTCAGAGATGCTCTTTTGCATATCTTGATTGTAGCAAGTGGCTTTTTGAATTACTGTTGCCTTTCTATCAGCTTAAACCAGTCTGGTCATTCTTCTCTGACCTCTGCCAGCAACAAGGCATTTTCACCCAGAGAACCACTGCTCACTGGATGTTTTTTCTTTTTCGGCTCATTTTCTATAAACCCTCGAGATGCCTGTGTGTGCAAATTCCAGTTTGATCGGCAGTTTCTGATATACTCATACCTGCCACAACAACCATGCCACATTCAAAGCATTTAAATCACCTTTCTTCTCCGTTCTGGTGTTTGATATGGTCATTAATTCATATAGTGACTGTATGGCGCTTTGTATAAAAGTCCGCTCAATAATTTAAAAAAGATCACTGCTGTAACAATTATCAGCGAGCTGGCATAAGCAAAGCGTTAGGGGGTCCCGTGGTTTGGGCAGGTAAAAATCATACTGTGGCAAATCCTCTGTCAGCTGTAAGATGTCCTTTTTGTTAAGCAACATGATAAACATTTTGGTAAAGCACAGGACAGTCAGTGTCTGTCACATCAGCATCTGGTGCCCCCTACAGGACAGCACTGGTCTGGCTAAGCTGTCTGCTGTCATGTCTGCTGCTGGCCGCACCCCTGTAGGCATTGCACCCTGATGCATTGATGGTGATGTGTTTGCGTGATGTGCGTAGGCCCGATGTGTGATTCGCAGTGAGTGTTGTGACTTAGTGGTCTGTCAGCATCATGGTACTTCGACATGCTGCCTGACTGCACTGTGCTCTCTTCCTGCAGGTCGCTGCTAATGCACCCAGTATGTACTCTCAGGAACTCTTCCAGCTGTCCCAGTATCTGCAGGTATGGGCGAATGGCGACCCCTGCTGTCTGACTGGTGTAAATGTTTAGGTTACTTTGCGCTACATTGTTATCCTTGTATGACAGGGGTGGCCAATCTTACCCGCAAAGGGCCGGTGTGTGTGCGGGTTCTCGCTGCGACTACCTAATTAGATTACTAATTAGAGGACTGATTAGCTGAAGAGTCCCCACACCTGGGTTTGAACAGCTAACCTACAGGTTATCCCAAAAACCTGCATACACACCGGACCTTTGCGGATAAGATTGGCCACCCCTGTTGTATGATTTTTGGCTACTCTGTGAGTTTAGTGGGCTTCTTTCTGTTTTTATGCTTTTTAAATATTGCTGTGGTCCTTATTTAAGGACCATGTTTGAGATGTCTGCTTTGCTTGTGATTGATGCTGCGAATGTTAGTTTAAAATTGTGTTATCTGCAGTACTCCACCTTAAAATCTGCTGTTCCAGATGCACAGCTTGCACATATCATTCGGGCGTAAGGGGGCAGGTTGGGGTAGTACTCATTCCGTCATTAGTCCTGTTGGCCTTTGGACCCCTTCTGGTTAAACACAGCATCCATGAGCTTCCGTTCTATCTGTTAAAACATCAGCGGTATGGTCTTTAGGTTATTGTCGTGAAAGTGGGCGGGATCTCCCTTGATGCACTGATGGCCGCCTCCTCCCTTCCCAGGAAGCCTTGCACCGGGAGCAGATGCTGGAGCAGAAGCTGGCTACACTGCAGAGGCTGCTGAGCAGCACGCAGGAGGCGTCAATGAGCAGCTGGCAGGTGGGTGTGGCTCCCGTCCGTCTGTCCCCCAGGGTCATATGGGCCCCTGTCTCTTATTTCCTATATGTGTCTGTTAGCTTCATAATTGTGGCTATTAGCTTACCGGAATACCTACTCTTCTCACCGGGCATTTCCTGCTGTGTAAATAGCTGTCACCTTTGGCTTAGGTAACTATTCTGTCCTTTCATGCCGAAAGGCTTTAATAGATGAAGATCGACTGCTCTCCAGGCTGGAGGTGATGGGGAACCAGTTGCAGGCCTATTCAAAGGTAGTTCACCTTTTTGGCGCTGGGCCTCCCTGCCCCATGTTACATGTTGCGGTCTGGGCAGTGACGATGAACGAGCCCTCGCCGTCCTGCCTTCCCAGACCCAGACTGAAGACGGCATCCGCAAGGAGCTCGTCGCCTTACAGGAAGACAAACACAACTATGAGACCACAGCCAAAGAATCCCTGAGGCGGGTCCTCCAGGAGAAGATTGAGGTTGTCCGGAAGCTCTCGGAAGTAGAGGTGAGCCGCCGAGCCCTGGGGGAGCTGACTTTCGTGTACTATGCCACAGGGCTAAGCTAAAGTGTAAGTGACCCGAGTGGCCAGATTTGGGCTGAATCTCAATATGTGTATTTGACTTGTGTTCTCATGTACTCAAATGTCAAGGATACATCGGTTGCATCCTCACTGAACGAGACCAATCCCATGATTCAGTGCGTCCCAAGTTTGTTCTTGGAAGGCAAGTTCACAAGACCGGTCTTGCCAAGACCACAAGTATGGTCTTTGTGTTCTTGGTTTTGCGATTCACCCCTAATCAATCCATCAGAATGGGAAGGAAGGTGACCGATGACATCTTGGTTAATCAGATTTTGCTTAGGGTCCCAAAAAAGGCTGGGTGGCCCTGCTGTGGCACGTCCGTAAGGCTGGTGTCTGTCTTGCTCTTGCCGTGCTGTAGAGGAGCCTCAGCAACACAGAGGATGAGTGCACACACCTGAAGGAAATGAACGAGCGCACGCAGGAAGAGCTGCGAGAGCTGGCCAACAAGTACAACGGCGCCGTCAACGACATCAAGGACCTGACGGACAAGATTAAGGCATGTGCCCCCCTTCCAACGCTCAACCCCCCCCCCCCCCCCCCCCCCCCCCCCCCCCCCCCCACCCACCGCCCCGCCCCCCCCCCCCCCCCCCCCCCCCCCCCCCCCCCCAATCCCCCAAGCCAAAAGGGCCACCGGCTGTGACCGCAGCACCCTCTCTGGTGTTCCTGCAGCTGGCAGAGGGCCGGCAGGAGGAGCTGCTGCTGAAGGGCCAGACCGAGAAGGAGGAGCTGCAACTGCGTATCAGCGAGATGGAGGAGAAGGAGCAGGCGCTGCAGGCGCGCGTCGAGGCCCTGCAGGCTGACAATGACTTCAGCAACGAGCGGCTCACTGCACTACAAGGTGGGTGGGTGTGGGGGGGGGCGTGGTGCCTGCCAACTGCTGATGGACTGGCAGAGACTCAGTGATGAGAATCCAAAATTAACTCTGTGATGGACGAGATGAATAATGGAGAGGAGTTATTGGTGGTGAGTCACGTGGCTGGCTAGCCGGTCGATCAGGTGACGCGCAGATGGGCAGCGTCGACAAAACCAGCCTGGCAGTCTTCGTGACGGCTGGGGCTCTGCTGCTGGGTGGGGTGGGGGCTCTAATCACAGGCATAGTGATTGTGCCTGTAATAGCAAGCCGTGTCTTAGCTTTGCAGGAATGTTCAAATGCATCATTTACCAGTCGGCATCTCGCTGATGCTTACTGATGGCGAAGTCTAAGTTTCATAGCTACATGTTTAGTTCCAGGCTCTTAATCACCTCAGCTTGGCTGCTGTAACACCAGGGCTTCTGGAGAGTCCCTGGGCCTCCATGAGGCTTTCGGTGTCTCCTCTAAGCACGTTTAGACCTGCAGAGCGCCCTTGTAGGGAGCCTCGACAAGTGTGGCGGGGCTGTGCGGTGCCCTGGGCCCCCCTATTGACCCGCGAATGAGGGCGTGTCCAAGTGCGACTGGGGGTGCGGGTGGGCGTGCAGTGACTGCGCCTCGCTCACGCTTAGCATCTCCAACTCCTCTTGTTGTCCTCTGCAGTCCGATTAGAGCAACTTCAGGAGAAAAGCATAAAGGAAAACAACAGTTTGGGTGAGTGTGGGCTCCCTCTCCGTCCACGGCTGTGACTGACCGCAGGCCGCTGCTTTCCCTCTAGTAATCTGGCATGGGCCCTTGTTCTGTGTTGCCTGTTCTTCCTCACATTGCCTGAATCTCCATCCATCCTGCATTCCTTCCTTCTGGGGCGGGGCCACAGGCCAGCTCGGCCAGTGAGCTCAGTGCCAATGGGTCCGCCGTCGTGCTTTTAGGGCGGGAAGTGTCCACACCAGGTGTGTCTGCTGCCACCTTATTGGTCACGTCAGTGTCTGGATCCTCTCCGTCAAGGGCTGTGAGTAGATCAGGTCTGAGGTGATCAGTGTAGAACAGCACAAGGTCACTCACCCTTTGTTACTCTGAATAACAATCTTCTTTCAGTCTGAGATGCTTGTAATCCATCTCAGTATCAACTCTAGCTGCCTGGTCGGCAGTGGTGGAATGTAACAAAGTATTTGTACTTCGTTACTGTACTTAAGTACATTTTTACGTATCTGTACTTTACTTAAGTAAAAATAATAATGCATACTTTTTATTTTACTCCATTACATTTTGCGGCAATTATCTGTACTTTCTACTCCACTACATTTCTACAATTTATGTCATTAGTCGTTACATTTTATGAACACAATTTCCTCAAAATCTTGCATGAAAGAATAGCCTATTGCGTTCTGGCGTTGTTTGCCATTTCCCACCAATCAGGTGGCTTTATTAGCTCCAATGATGGCAGAGCGTGCGTCAATTAGCAGCAGGAGCTGGTAGACTGGCTTGATTTCAAGAAGACAAGACATTCAACATGGACCCAGAGCCAACATCGGCTCTTAACAGATGTGTTGAATAGTTTTGCAAGTACATAAATGATTTAAAGATATATCATGTCCTGATTGGTTTATCTTAATGGTATATTAGTGGGTAACTTCTCATCCACATAAACCTAAGTTAGGGTACACACAGTATTGCAGAGTGCACGCACAAAAAGCACACCAAACTTTCCAATACACATATACTGTATAGTTGCTTGTAATTATTACGAGCAATGACATCGGCAAGTCAGTATATCTACTATTCTTTTACAAAATGGCACACCCCAGACGTTGAGACAAACCATTGTGTGAGTACATTTACTTAAAAAGAATACTTTAAAGTAAATTTAAAAGTAAGTACTTAGTACTTTCACTTAAGTAAGATTGTTGATGTAGCACTTCTACTTTTACTTGAGTACATATTTTGCAGGATATTTGTACTTTTACTTAAGTACTAAGCTTCAGTACTTTCTCCACCACTGCTGGTCGGCGTCTCCTTCCTGTGTGTCTTCCTTCCATAGCACTACACAACATCGAAGGCCACAGACCCTAAGTGTGTTCAGCGGCGTTTGTGTGGGAGGCTGTGCTGCCTACATATTGAGGATTAAATGCAGATGCATAACACAGATCCATATGATGCATTAAATATCTAAATTTGTAGCTGCATTAGTTACTTGCATATTTAATTAGCGAAGAGTTTTACTCCAATGTATGAAATTTACACTCACTAGGCTTAACCTTATTTATAGGGAGCTTGGTTTATTTTGGCATTTTTTTTTGTAAAACCAATATTTGAAATGTTACTAGAAAGGAGAAAAAAATGGACCTGAAGATGTGGCATTTGGTGCAGCTGAAAATCCTCTTTGGAGCACATAGGCCTTGTGGTTCATGTGACTTTGTCAATGTCGTCTTGTGGCTGTTTGTATCACTGACCACCAGATGGGGCTCCTGGGCCTTTTGTGCTGTGCTTTTTACACATGCATGCAGGAGGTGGTGTGTGCAGGATTGGTCTTGTCAATCAGCAGTACACATGTGACTGGTCAGGTTTAAGAATATGCCCCAGACACTTGTGATTGGTATACAGTTATCATGTGATCTCATCTTTGTTTGATGTGATGGAAATACTGTTTTTTCCTCATCTGTCTTTTCATTTTAAAGTGAACATTTAATTCTCCAGTCATAAGTCATTTATGACCCTAAGCTACATGATCAAGTCAATTAAATCCACAGATGTGGAATTAATTTCCATTCCTGTAGCTCGCTCAAGCCCTCTGGATGATTCACCGTTAAGCTGTAACCGTATCGTCCGTCATCTGTCTTGTATTCATTTTTATTGCTTGAGGCACGCAGCTTTTAGGCAGCCTGTCGCTGGCTGTGAGGAGCAGGGTGGGGAGGTGACCGCAGCAGGGTTGGGCTGCCTTGTGAGGTCTCCTGTTCGTCCCCATCCCGTCCCTGCATCTGTCTGGTGCCCTTGAGTGTCGTGACCTGCAGAGAGCGCCGTGCCGGTGTTCCACGCCCACTGTGATGGTTCATGGAAAGCTGCTTCTCTTTCCTTTCTTTGTTAGACCGCTTTCTTTTAAAGAGTGGAGGAGGCTGTGCTTTTATCCAGCAGTTTGTTGACGGCCAGCGTGAGTACACACCCTTTATTCCACTGACTTCTGGGCTAGGCGGGGCAAGGAGGGACGGTTAGGGGCAGGCTCCCTGTCCAGATTCATGACACCAGGCGGCCCACTGCTACCTGAATCCCCGCTGTCAGGTTTGAGGTGGCGCACTGGGGGGGGGGGTGATTTCTTTGTTTGGGTGGAGAAATGGAGCGAGAGGGAATGGAGTTTGTTTGAGGGAAGTTTAGAATGAAAATTTGGCAGGTTTAAAAACCCTGGTCCCTCATTGGTGCAGAGTGGTTCTGTGGGTTTGGCCACTGTGCCTGTGATTTGTGAGGTTGCAGGATCAGATCCCAGGGGGGGCTGAGTGATGTCACTGTTTGGCCCCTAAGCCCCATTCGTTTCCTCCATACAAAGTATGTTGTTTTGGTTAAAAACGTCTGCTAAATAAGTAAATGCAATTTTATTGTATCTTAGCCGCCGTTCAGTGAATGGGAAGCCCTGACTGTTTCCCACCTGCAAAGTGGCAGCTCCCAGCCTTAAAACAGCAGGTTAGCGCTGGTGCCGTTGTCCCGCGTTTAGCGGGTGTGCTGTTTCTTGTTGGCACATGTGCCGCGCCGCTCCCCATCCTCAACAAGGCAACACGATACGCTTGTGAAAGCGACACACTGCAGGCCCAGTGTGTAAAATGATCCCTGTCCTTTTAGTTTGTGTGTTTATCGAGGTCTCCGACTTTCCATGACTGAGCTTTGAATGGTGATTTAGCTTCAGAGTTTAGGTGACGCTGGAGTCCGGGATCCTGGGAGTTTGTTCCTGTGAGAAATGGGCCCTGGCAGAGCAGCGTGGGGGAGACAGGCAGCCTGTTTATATGGGTGAGGGGGGATGTTAATGCATCGGCCTCCTCTCCCTCACCCAGCCGGATGGGATGGAGACCGTGTCTGTCATCACATTGCTACAGGTCGTCTGTCACTGAAGCCTTGCAGCTCAGTCTGGTCCCATCAGCAGAAAGCGCTTCGAGGCGCCAGGCCAGGCGTGTCGTGTAAAATGTAAAAGATGACGACAGCGTAGGATTTAAATGTCTGATGCCACATTCTGCCTTAGCTGAACGTCAGATGCTGGTTTTGTCACAGGTTCTTTTCATATGAAGTGTGACTGATGTTGGACTCTTAGTTCCTCTGAAATATGACGCGCACCTGCGGACTGAGTGATTGCATTGTACTGTGTGTGGGTTACAGAATCAGTCACATGTGTAGCAACAGCCTGCAGGGTTTAAATGGGGCAGTGTGTGGCTTAGTGGACACTGTGCCTGTAATCAGAAGGTCGGCAGTTCAAATCCCAGGGTCGGCAGAGTGATTTCAGCATTGAGCAAGGGTCTTAACCCTGATTGGTCCAGGGGCCGTTTGACCCTGTTTTCTCACCTGAATGCTGTGTTGCATTAAGGGGGGTCTGGTAGGTAATTGTTAATGAATGGACATTCCACATCTTGAGCACACACAGGATAAATTGATTTTAACTAAAGAAGCTCAATATATGTTATCCTGAAGGAATTTTCTTCACAAATTGCCATTCTTGACCATGTATTCCCAAAACTGAATTTTTCCTCATTATTTTTGTATTAACTTTGATATTAAACATCACCCATTCCATTTAAAACCCTTTTGCGACTAGATAAGCTGTAGTCTGTAGTTTGCAGTTATTGAATTGTGCTTGAACTAGAATTCCCTGCTGTGATTGTATGGTTGACCTCTAACCAAAGAGCAGCAGCAGCCCCTGACAGTTTGCCCCTGGAGGACCAGTCTCAGCTCCTGCTTGTGCTTGAGGGAGGCGAGTAATGCAGCTGCTTATACCTGCGTGTCTGTGTGGGTGCGGTGGAAACTGCCCCCTCGCTGCGATCGACCGCTTGCCCTTGCCTGCTCAGTCTGCTTCTGTGCTGAAACTCACCACCAGTTCTCACCGGGACACCAAGGGGCAGTTTTCCTGCCCTAGTTGCCCCAGATCAGGCGCAAGCCCTTCCTTTCTGCACGCCACCTTTCACTCTTTCGCTCCTCGTCTTGATGTGACTCTTATTTACTCACCCTTCCATGTTTATTGGGAAATCCAGTCATAATGCTCTAAGCAGCCTCATTATTATTGGGAGTTATTGAGAGCAGTTAGCGGTCACTTTTACATTATGCTGATTTCTACAAAAGTGGTTTTTGGAATTGGCATGCATTTGGCGTTCTTTTCTCAAATTGTTACCGTTTCCCCCAGCAGCAGTGAAGCAGGCGAAAGGGGCCGTGCCCTCCCCGCTGAAAAAGATCTCCGACTTCGACGGTAAGAGCAGCCTGTACCAGCACCCTCAGTCTCGGGGTGTCTCCTTGGCAGCGGGGGGCACTGCCAGGGTATTCTGAATCGGCACGCTTAAAGTGCGAATGTAGAGCGAGAGAAACCTCACTGCTTGTGACGTTGAGGCATCATTCTGCTACAAGAGAACAGCCACCAGAATGATGGGGTCACAGTGCACCTCTAAGTGGCTTTTGAAAATTTTCCATTTGTGGTGGGGGTGGGGGGGGGGGGGGGGGGGGTGGGGGGTGGGGGGTGCCGTAATGTGATCTGGGTTAGGATGCTGAGCCCGTGACATCATGCACCACTGTTGGGCCCCTGTGCAAGGCCCTGGTTGATCCCGCTTTCTCAGTTGTATGTTGCTCTGGATGAGTGTCTGTTAAATAACATAAACTTGCTTTCTCTGTATCCCCCTCGTTACTTTGTCTGACAGCACAGGTTGCCGTTAGGTTCGGTGAGTGGATAAGGTGTATTGTTTCCTGTGATGATAAGTGACGTTTGTCCTTTCAGAGGTCATCGATGCTCATCTCCAAAACAACCAGCTGACTCAAGAAATCAGCCTGGAGAGCCCCGCCATTCTTAGAGGTCAGTCCGCTTTCCCGAAACGGCACGAGTCCCGCTGAGCTGGCACATCAGCGGCAGCCCGGGGAGAGCCCAGAAACACAAGTGGGCCGGTTCAGGGCGTGAATGCGGGTTCCACTGGCCAGCTCCTAATGTGGCGCGGTTGGTTAGGGACCTCGATCAGCGTAGCATTTCATTCATATTTATCAAACTAGTTCACACCTGCCACTGTGCTTAATCTGTACTAATCCTGGCTTCCCGTCCTTAGACAGTTATTTTCTGTGATTGAAAATGGTGGGTGTGGAGTTAAAAGCAGCAGTGAAGCTGGCGCAGTGGCCCTGCGGCCAGGATTTGGCCTGTAAGCACCTCTGCTCACTGCATGTTGGTGCCCCGCTTCCTCAGGGAAGAACAACTGCAGGGTGCAGTGGCTCTTGGGCATCGTGCCGCTCAGAAGGGCATTGTTTTGAGGGAGCACCTGTACATTTCCAGATACCATGTCGGTCAGACAGAGCTGTTTTGTGTAAAGTAATGCCCCCCCAACCCCCCAGACTGGGTATTTTTTTTGATAAATGACTGATTTCTCTTAGTCTAAGTGGCTGGCGGACAGTAGAGGGTCATGAGCAGGCGCCCTGCTTGTTCTGGCCTGCGTCTGTTTTCTCGTCCTCGCTCATGCCCATGTGTGGTGAGGTCTAACCCGACACCCTCCCCCCTTTTGTACAGTGCACTCTTTATACTTGCCTCTGGCTTTGTCACCCCCAGAGTGTTTCGTCCCCCTCCCTTCATGCCCCCCCCCAACCCCTCTCAGGGCTTGAGTTTGTTTTACTGGCTTGACGCTGTTCTGTTACATTCTGTAGCCGTGCCTCCCCGTGGTAACAGTCTGTCCCACCTCTCCTTAGAAAACCAGATAGATGCGAAGGAGCTGGACATGTCCGACACGCTCAGTCCCAGCAAGGACCGGAGCAGCGACGACACGTCAGGTATGGGCTCGTCCTCTGTGGTCTAATGCTCACCTCGGCGTGTAATGCCACTGAGTTTACAGGCAGTATTAAGCTGCACTTCTGAAAGCGTTTGTGCGTGTATGTGTGTTTGCGTGTGGGTGCGCGTGTGTTCATGGATGTTTAACTCTTACAGATTTAAACCCCCTGACAGCATTGGTGGTGTTTCCATACATGTCGTCTTGAACCTCAGTTTGCCTTTTGCAGTTCTGGCTTGGTTTGACTGCATAGTGAAGAGTGCTATATAAAAATCCGTTGAATTGAATTTAGTTTGTAACTGTCCCTAAAAGTTGTGGGAAGCCCCAGCTAGTCGGCGTGTCGACGTTCTGGCGGTCTTCACCCCCCCCCACCCCCCACCCCTGAGTCTTGTTCTTTTCTGCCCCCAGATGGGCAGATGGACGAGCAGGATCTGAACGAGCCCCTGAAGGCGCCGTCGCCGAGAGGTAATGCGCTCCCTGGGGGGACCTGCCGCGGACGTCTGAGTGCACAGTATCGGTCGTGTAAATCTCAGGCTGTTCGTAGGGCCGTTACGGTGGCTGCCTGCACGGCGGAGTGGGGAGCACACTGGCCATATATGGTACGGTGCTGGAGCTGAGGGATGCTGATGTTTGGCCGCTCTGCCCCAGGGCACGCTGTGCTTGGGCACATGTTACCCTGCGCCCGCTGTTCCCAGCTGAGCACAGTCTGCGGTGGGCTGAGCTAAGTAAGGGCCAATCCAGCAGTAATAATAGGATGCATCACACGAAGCACTTGCATTATAGCAGTTTTAATCCTGTTTTATCCTATATTGTCGGATAGTTCTTATTGGAAATGGCTAAACAATGGAAAGTGATTAATCAAGTTCACAAAGTGCAGTCTGGTGTAACATTGAAGGGTCAACGAAGACGGCTTATGAAAGAATATCCCGAATCTAGAGTTTAGGTCAATGGGCGTTTTGAGGGATGAATTCGCTTAATGGGATCAGCGCCCCCCCCACCCCACCCCGCTGAAGCCCGGGTCCATACCCACCTGTCAGAGCAGGACAGGGTGTCCTGCAGGATGGCACTGGTAGCTGGGCCACAGTGCAGCACTTCCCTGTATACAGCAGTCTCTGGGACTTACGCCGGGTTTGCCGGCGTCAGTGAGATTCACTCCCCTGGGGTGATGACAGTTTTCCTCCACCTGGGATTCATCCTGCCTGATTTGGGAATGTAGCTCCTTAGTAGGTCATGTCAGCCGGCGCCTGCGTCTCTGCAGCGCCTCACTCGCCGTTATCAGCTTGCCGCTGCCGTCGCTTTCCTTGGAAACGTCCGCCTAGTGCCGCCAGACTGGCTCGCCATGAGCTCATGTCTTTCCCCAGCGGCCGAGTGCAAGGCTGTTAATTCATGTTTGTTCAGGCCCGCGGGCTGACAGGACACTGGGCCGTAGTCCAAGTAAACTGTTGGGAGCTGTGCTAGGTGGGGGGGGGGTGGCGGCAATGGCAGGACACCACACACCTCACCCTCCCGCCACTGTATGCTTGCTGTTTTGCACATGGGGGAACTCTCTCTGGCTCCCTCCACTTGTTTGTTGGTTACCTATTGTAAACATGAGTTATTTGTGCGCCTTGGTTGCCTGGGAGACAAAGCTATATACAGTGGTACCTCAGAACTCGGAATTAATCCGTTCAGAACTCCAGACCGAATCCTAAAAAGTTCGAGTTCTGATCGAATTTTCCACAGAAGAAATAATAGAAAACAAATTAATTGGTTCCCGGCCACAAAAAATTACACCTAAATGTTTTTTT